TCATTTAGCAGTTATCCCAGTTTGATTCGCGATATCTCAATGTAATAAATGCATAACCTATATTTATTATGATTTATTTTTCTGTGCAACAATAAATTACATTTCTTTTTGGTTTGTCTGTATTGATTTTGGTTCCTTTCCAATTACCAATAAGCTAGTTTGAAAGATTGAAGTGCGCAAACGCAGAAGTGAATCCGCGAATATTTTAATATTTCTCAAAAAGATGGCACTAGAGTAGATCTGAAAATAGTCATATATCCATTGTTGTTAAGTATTTTAAAAATAACATAGAGCCACTTGACCTCTGTTTGAGAAATCTTAAAATATTCATGGATTCACTTTAATAGGATAAAAGAAAATAATTGCTGGGTTGCAGAAAAATGAAAAAACGTCAATCCTGGATGTTTTCTACCCATTATTTTTTAAGTGCAAGGGGCTGGGGACCAAAGACGCTGTGTGGTGGCGTGTACTCGCAAATTTGAAAATCGAGTGGCGCCATCTTCAGTGGTCTCTATGGAACCTTAATTCAATTTTATATTATCTAATATTACTATTTATTGCAAATTATACAATTACATAAATAATTACAGGCTTCTCTGTAAATTTAGCCAACTAAATGTTCATTTATATTATTACAAGTTCGGTACCACATATATTAGTTAATAATTTTACTACTACTCACTAAATCTAAAAATAATGTATTGAAATAAATAAAAATTACTAATATATTCTTATCCTTACATTCGTTATTTCCTGATTAGCTAATGTTTAGATATTTCATACGTCTCTACTAATTAATTTCTCCATTTTGCAGATGAAACAACAAGTACTTGACGAAGTGGGTATCGAACCTACTCAATCCAGCATGTAAAAGTACAAAAAAAAGTCAGGATGAAATATGATATTTTGTTGGAATAGGCCCTACTCAATTCAACCCCTGTAATGACTAACGGAAAGTGATCTAAAGCATATTGGAGAGGTGCAGTATTTTCAGTACAATGTCTGTATTTTTGGATATACATCCTGTATGAATGTATCTCATTTCTGAATAGTTATATTTGTTTACTACTGTGCAATACATTTTAAATATACACTTACTGGAGCTTAAAACAAATTAGTTAAATTTATCCCACCTTATAGTCATCACAAATGTTCCTTCAATCAGACTGAAAAGCTAAAATAAATTAATTAAATATATCCAATGGCACTTACAAAACAACCTTGGAAATAAAGAGCTAAAAGAAAATATAACAAGGATTTTATCACCATCCTACTAATTTAATACTAATTTAAAACAATACTCACTAATTAATAGACTGATCAGTAGTAATACATGTTTTAAGAAAGACTAAAATGTTTAATAATAATAATTAAACTTATTTGGATCAAAACAAACTCGGTTAAAAGTAGTCAAGCAGTCGTGGATACAAATATAAATAGTGCGAAAACGTTAAAACAATAAAAACTATTTCAAAGGATAAAGTAATTTTTTTTATTATTTGGCGCTTTTATATTTGATGGTACTTGTGGCGCCGTGTTATCTGCTCTCCATGTACTAAGGAACGCCACCGCAGTGGCTGCACAACAGATTTCTCATATGACTTGGGGGTCGTAGATCAAAAGTTTGAGAAACACTGATGTACATAATAAATTTCTTTGAATAAACGTTACACATAATGATCGTACTTTACATTAATATCTATGGGAAATATCGAGGTTCCAGTATAATTAAAAAATAAACAAATACATTGCATACTTGTTATTGGCAATAAGTGCCATGCTATATGTATTCCTTAATACAGTGGTCCCCAACCTCCGGTCCGTGGATCAAATGGTACCGGGCCGCACAAACCCCCAGATGAAACCGTCTTGTTGTAAAGAAACAAGCTCATGGTTCTCATTGATTTAGCGTTCTAGTGAGTTGAAATGTTAAATCACGTACTCCCTCAGCGGGCCGTGCTAAAATTATCAAACGTAGACCGGTCCGCGGCGATAAAAAGGTTGGAGAGCATTGCCTTAATACATTCATCTCTTCTCGCAGGTATATATTTTAATAAAAAGTATGTTTACAATGAAAAAAGTCTTTTTTTCAATAAACAATATTTTCAATTAATAATGGGCACTAGTCACTCATCCAAATACATATTCTATTTAGTCTTGTAATTTGAAGTATCCAATAAACTCCACTTAATGTGTTCTTCTAAAATTGTAAAATATTCTATTACTCAAGACAAACTGTGGCTCGTGAGCCGCATGCGGCTCTTCAAGAGTGGCACGGTTAGAACAAAACTTATTATTGAAATTGGAATGACGAGGTTATTATGAAATAATTAATTGACTAAAGTATGTACTGTTGAACATTAGACTGAATAGATTTAAGAATAATTAAACTATTTGGCAGAAAGTTTTAAAAATGTTTATTAATTTACTCTAATGATATAACTTAAAACATTGATTCATACTGGAAGGCATGGACTAGTGCAGTTTAACAGGAATGTAATTTTCATAAGAGAGACGCCAAGATTAGACTTGGTAACATAAAGATTGGAAACCACTGACTTAAAGTAATAACATAAATATACTATATTTTTTATTTACTCATATATATATAACGAAATAAAGATTTTCATTTGCGAATTTTATTTTGTTTAAATTTTCTATGTAAAAATTGTTTTATATCATTTCAATTGTTTCAATAGTAACAAATAAAAGACTAATTAAAAATTTGGTCCAATAAATTACATTATGATCTAACTGCCATGGAATATCCAATAATTCAAAGAAAATAAAGGTATGTAAAAACACGCAAAGTCAAATGTAAGAACTAAAATTATTTTATAGTTTTCTTAAAATCATCATGTAACTAAAAACTATTGTACATTTCTATTCTGAATGTGTATTTTTCGATACAAATGTGCAATTGTTACATTTTTATTAATCGAATGCATTGTAATTACAAAATTATTTGAACTTTTTAATAACCCACGGGTATTTTATACTAAATGCCAATTAAGATGAATATAGAAGTTATGCATAAAAACGACCTTTATTTTAGTTCAAAATAGGTAAGATATAATAATTTGTATACCAATTTGCTAATCCATTGTATTCCTTTTCAGTTACAATTATTACTAGTCTACAATTTTATTCTGCCGATAAGAACATTCTTTGTAGTCCGTCCATCATTTGTACATCACTTCATATATTCGATCATGAAATCTGACTACCATCTCTACTATTAATCTAACATTCTTTCTGGCTTCTTTATTGTCTATACAAAAATAGAATTTTCTTGTAGACATCCACAATTTCACCATAGGTACGATCATAAACAAACTCCAATAACAACGACATATATGCTCAAATTGTAAACAATCCACATCGATTAATTTCTAACATTAATTCAGCAGTTAAAATGAACATAAAAATCAAATATTATTAAATCCATATAAGTTCATTATAAAATAACTGCCACAATTATAATTTCGAACTAGTTTTCATATTTTTAGTATTGAAAGGAATCAAGTTGAAACAGGTTTATCAATAAAATTGGTACCTTACCGTTTTATTCAAAATGTGTCTGTATCACACAAACAATTGGATTTTTCTTTTCATAGATTATCTTAAAGTAAAATAAATAACGATAATATATATGTACGTCTATATATATTTCATTCTCCTCAGATTATTTACTGATATTTCGCAATTCACGTGGAAAAACTGCACTTTTCTCCGTGTTGTTCATTCGCTTTTAATTTATTATTTTAAATTTTTACATATTACAAATGTCTAACAATAAATTCAGTAATAAATTACACAATGTATCTTCCTAAATTGCGTTCTTTTTTCAAGTACACCAGATTTGCTAAGTATCGTAATTTACTTTTATTAATTCTTGTTTCTTCATCTTTTGTTAATTGTAATCGTTCCGACGCGGCTTCAGCGAAAAAATATTGAGTATAGAAAATTAGTATAATCAAACGTAAAGCAAATTCTTTAAAAATACATGTTTTTAAACCAGATAATAAAATAATAATAATATGTTTAATAGCACAACCAACTAAAAAAAAAATAATAAAAAAACAGAAACCCTCGAGACGTGTGTGTGTAATTACTACATGTTTGCGTGTATGTATTATTTGCCATTATTTCGGGAAGCCGCGTACGCACAAACCCTCTTTTTTTCTATTATATAAAGTATAAAAATTAAAATTACATTCTTAAGTATTACATTATATAACTTCTGTACGGCAGTGCACCCACCTACTAAATTTTTCATTTATTTTCGCTTTATATTAAAATAAAATTTTATATCACTTAAGGTACGCGCATCTTATTTTTTTTTTTATTATGATTTTTTTTTGTAGTTTCAATCTCCTCAAACAAAATTAAAGAAAATAAGAATATTTGAGGCTGTTCTTGTTTTCTAATACTGACACCACTGCCGGCACTAAACTCGACAACAAATAAAAACCGTGAGAGAGGCATCACAGTCGATATTATATAAATTCATTTTATGCTTTATATCGTTTACCACACACGAAAAAATGAAGAAATTCATAATTACAATAAACTTAAGGTCCATTCGCACACATTTTTCTTTTAAACGGCCGGTATATGTCAGTGGGGGCACAGCTCAGATCTATTTTACAGCGGCCGCCGGCACCGGAGCTGGGGCACTGTTGTTAATTTGTGATGAGCTCTGTTGTTGTGGTTGCTGCTGCTGCTGCTGTTGTTGAGGATTGTTCATCCTCAAGCTAAGGTCGCCGCTGCTGCCAGGAATTACTCCCATTCCTTGCTGATTCCTCTGTTGCTGTTGTCCTCCGCCCTGTCTGTAGCCTCCACGATAGCCGCCTCTATAACTTCCACCTCTATAACCTCCTCGTCCACGGTACCTGTTGTAAAAGAAACAAAGAGCATTGCTTTAGTGCATCTCGGTTATCCTGGTAAGGATTCGAACTTACCCGCCGCGCCTTGCTGAAGCCACGCCGAAAGTCTCAGAATTCAATTTACGTTCTGTGCGCCAGTCAGTCCTTTGCGATCGTCCTTTGGAACGCTCGACGGCCTCGCAGGAGATATTGTCGAAGAATGACTTAGCCTTATCATAGTACATTACATCAGCATCCTCTTCCAGTTCATTTTCACCAGCTCCAGTTTCGTTACCGGAGTCGTCCTTCTTGTCGCTATCATGCGTTACTGTTGTCGTCGCTGCACCGTTCATCTCCACCTTGCCATCTTCTAGCTTTGTCTAAACAACATCAATTAAAAAACAATAATTAACACAATTACACTCAACTATTACTAGTTATGAAAATAGATATTAAGATCAAATAAAATTTTATTCTGGATTCTAATCATATTATACTTCTCAAAAATAAACAATAGTCCCGATTTCAGAACGCAATACTGTAAAAATATTTGGAAAGTATCGCATGGTAAGTAACATGACCTTCAGATAAAAAATATATTTCCAGTTATAACAAACAATTATTAATATTATGTTTAAAATAAGTTATATTAAACACCAGCTTATCTATTACCGACAACGGTAATTAAAATTCAAAATGCAAAATAAGTACTTATAAAAAATTCTGTTTAAAGCGCAATATATTTTTTACGTATTATAAAATATCATGTTTACTTGTACGTTACTCGATAGAACAGCGTAATTTGAAAGTATGAAAGAGTAGAAAACTTACTAAAACATACTACTTTTGTCGTCTTCTGAAGAATATCTATTATAATAATCCTATTGAATGGTATTGTCTAAGAATAATCACAAACATATCACAATGAATTTGAATATATTGTTTTTATTAAATCCTTGAAGAAATAAATGCAATTGACAGCCAGAATTACATAATATTTATATAAGCAGCATGTATAGAAAAAAAAACTAATTGTTATTTTCATGGATGTTATCTGAAGTAGTATGTTGATTTAGTGATATACCTATAATGCCAGGACTTGGCGAGAGAGTTGCATTTATATAAAATTATATCAGTGAATTTAAATTTATTACTTTGATAAACGAAAAATATGTTTTAATAAAAATAATTGGTTAATACTGAATTAGCACACAAAATGTTTAGTACCCATTATTTTAAGATCTTAATAAATGAATAGTTGATTTAATAAACCAGTAATTTCATATATATACACAGAATTAAAGAAAATCTGTGAATATCATAGTATTTAATGTAAAGCATGCTGTATAAAAAAACCTTACCTTTCCAAATTTTCCACAAAGTTCCTCAAATTGACTGTTGGCTTGTTCAAAATCATATTCGCTGTCAAATTTAATCTTAGGTTTGCCAGCAGCACCTTGTTGATTCTGGCGATTATGAGGTTGAGGTTTGAAGCCTCCGTTACCCATCGGTCCCCCGAAACCACCACCGGGTCCACCTCGTGGCCTTCCCCGAGCCCTCTGTCGCATCGGACCTCTTTGTACCCAATTACCTTGCCTTTGCATATGAATACCCTGATTGTTAGGGTGAAACTGTTGTTGTTGCTGTTGGTTTCGATGCTGCTAAATAACACAAGAACATAATTAATATCAAATACCATACATTAGTTTTTCTTGTTTAAATACATATTATGTATAAATTCAGAAGCGCATATTTTTCCCAGCCTCGACCGCGTCTGTCGAACACAGATTAAAGCCAAGGCTGCCCTAATACATGTTATTTGGGATTCAGGACCCCTGCGCGTATCATCATTATAACCTTATATTGTATTATTAATTAATTAAAGAAGTCTAGTTCTTACCAGTTGCGTTTCCCCACGAGAATCCCTACGATCTTTATTCCTCGGTGGTTGAATTGGTCTGACAATCTTCTTGTCATCTTTTTTTCCACCAGCCTGTGTACCTTGGTCAGCAGTTGGAGACTTCCTTAAACTGGCTGGTGTCGTGCTCCTTGATCCTCCACTAATCAAATCTAAAACCGAAGCTAAACACTGAGTCCCAAAGTAATCCAACATATTGTAGTCAAGAAATTACTCTTATGACTAGAGTATATAGCAGACTCTTGATAATACAGTTCAATCAGTACACAATTTTGCCTTGCACCATTCTCCCCAGTGTTAGGTCACAAACTTAAATGATACCCACTAAAATATAATTATTGACTAAAAAGTAAATAAGTGCTATGGATACACAATATTTGCAAAACGAAATGAACTATAGAAGAAAAATAGTTGGAAAATGTGAGGACTAAGAGCAAACTAATTTTAATATTGAAATAATAGTTGACTAGAATTGGATTTGCCATTTAAAAGACAAGCTTCTTGTTAACCCAAATGCATTAAACACAAATAAAACCAATATAAGTACTGTCTTGATATAATTCAATTGCGCCTTTTATACTTAGAAATAAGCATATGTAATTGCGTGATTTTATTATAAGTTTATAATATGACGTTTTAAATTGCCGATTAGAGACGATTTAAAGTATTATTATAAGACATAAATCCATTCAGATTACTTTTTCAATAGGTGCATTAATCCCAATTATTCAAGAGTCTTCTATATTTTTCAAATCTTGTGGCTTAAATAATGTGATAATTTCTTGACAACTGTCTTTAAAATACACTAAGTGGAGTCTATATCAGAAGTCAGTCATATAACCAATCACTGATCTACATGGTTAAGTTACAAACAATCTCATGCTAAACATACATATGATGAATTTGATATAAGGATATTGGAAACCTATTGGGTAATATAAAAATACCTACACTACCTACCAAATACTTGTACATGTATCAAGAAAATATAGAATTAATATAATCTTGAACTTGTACCTGTTGGAGTTGGGAAATTGAAATAACCAATCCTCATGAACAGAATCAGCAAAATAGCAGCAACAGGTAATGAGTAGTTACTAATGTTCGAGCAGCGACAAAGCAAGATGCGAATTAAAGAAAATATAGAAAACATTACCGTGTTTGTCTTTAGACCGAGGTGCGGGGTTCGTCGTTTGCTCCAATACCACGTGATGGTGTTGGGAAAGGTCTTGCGGGGGATGAACAACACCCGTGGGGGGTGGCATATTCAACTCACTTGGCTTATTGTTGATCATGCCTGGGCCTCGCATGCCTGGAGCCAAGGCATCCATAGCGGTGGCGTTCCCATAAGCCCCACCAGCGCCGAACTGACTACTGGGTCCAGCACCTGCACCCATCTGGCCGAGCACGGGATGGGTGAATCCTGGTCCCTGGAATGGTTGTTTCCCCAGGGATGGCGGCACCGACAGTTGCATAATCGCCGGATCATTTGGCATCGCGTTAACATTGTTAACAACGCGAATGTCTTTGATATCTGACCCCCTGAACAATATGTAATCATAGACCTGATTTTGAGGAGGCACTGGGAATGCCGTTTCCCTTTCTTCTGTCCCAAATGACCGGACTGCAAATTTAAAAAAATAAAAGAAGACATTAACATCAATCAAATAAAAAAAATATTTAATTAAATTAGACATAATATAATGAATTAATAAGAAACCTGTTGAATATTCCTAAATAGGCAATCAAAATGATACAAAAAATAAAGCATATTCTACAAATTTTATAAAACAGCCTATTCATTGCACTTTTTTTTTCGATATCTAACAAAAAAAAAAACGTAGTGCACGAAAACTTTCCGGCTAAGGTTAAGTATAGTTTTACCGGCATATCTCGAAATGAACCTTTTTTGGTAACACGTAAACCCACTGCTGACAATAGTGCATTGTTGTGTAATAATAAACAAAGCAATTGTGAAACTTAATTACAGTTTCCTTCTTTGGGGGGTCGCCTGTCTGTGCAATAGCGGCATCAGCCAAACGCAATGAATTTGGCCTAATTACAAATTTCGCTATTCAGGCTATCCTAAATGATGAAATTACTGTTTTTTGGGTCATCTTTTAGAATTGTAGTTAATATGAAAATTTCCTTACCGGACGCAAGAGCGATGGTGCATTGTTGAGGATCAACGGTAAAAAGGTGTCCCTCATATCTTATATCCGCCTTCGATATTAGGCTTATCTTGGAGCCTAGCTCCGGCATTCCTCCACTCATGATGATTCCAGCTTTCGTTTCGAAGGATTGATGAGATACTAACGGATTCAATTCCACAACTAAACAACTCAAAAGACAGGTACGCGTCCAAAACCGATACACAATGACGATGGCGTTCCCCCAGAAACAGCTGGAAGAAGTGACGTACAATCATAAATACCAACCGAAACATGAAACTAAACACTTTTTTATTTCTATAAACTAACAATTTTTGGTTCAAACACACTTTAGAAATGATAACAAACATGAATTATCCTTCTGAATTACGTTGATACATAAATAAAACTTAATTTAATAACGAAATTTTCATACAGAATCTCATACACGGTTGGCCAACCTGTATTTCATACATACCAACCACTATATGGAATGAATCAACCATAATTGTTGTTTCGCATTTTATGTTAACTTCTTTCGTTTTTTAATTTATTTCTTCATTATTCTTGAAACTAGTGAGTAGTCTACGCTGAAATAAGAGTAATATACTATAATGATGTAACAGTTGTTTTTTTTTGACATTTGAACTTGAGACTTTGTTTTCGTCTGTGTCAACAACCCATGTTCAAAGGAAATGTCAAAATTGTAAATATTTTAAACAAATAATAATATAATATAAATAAAATGATATTGGACACGTAACCAATTAGTAAAAAAAACAGTCCAATCAATAACATGCCCTCGTCGGAAGTTGCTTCTTCGCCTGAAGTATATTCATCATGGGTAATATTTTTTTGTTTAATCAATTATTCTATTATTCAGTATCTAACTGATGATTTCAGGTGGGTTTAATATATGTGTTCAATTTAATTGTTGGAACTGGAGCCCTAACTTTGCCCTCAGTGTTTGCACAAGCTGGGTGGTTACTTAGTACTTTACTGATTATTGCACTGGCATTCATTGGATATGTCACTGTTACATTCATTATTGAAACTATGGCATGTGCCAATGCCACAATACAAGTTAAGAAGTTGCAATCACATAAAATTGATGGGGTAATATATATTAGTAGTGTTTATATACTTAAACAAATATTGCTTTATAGGAAAGTGAAGCAGCTGTGGACTCTGAAACTGATGAAGAAGAAGTAACAAATGAGGAAACAGCAATTATGGGGAATCGAAATTTGAGGAGGTACTACAGTTTAAATTACCAAGTTGAGTTGGGTGAAATGGCAGGCTTATATTTTAATCGAGTTGGTCAAATACTCTTCTACATATCATTGTGCATATACTTATATGGTGATTTAGCAATTTATGCAGCAGCTGTATCTAAATCTCTTTGTGATTTGGTCTGCCCCAATAACAGAAGTATCAGTAATTCAACAGAGGATTTTGATATTGAATGCTTTCATGAGAGCATTACCAAAATAGATCTGTATAGAATATTTGTTGGAGTTTTTGCTCTGTTGATTGGACCATTTACATACTTCAATGTTCAGAAAACCAAGTACTTCCAATTGGCCACTACTTCCATGCGCTGGTGCGCTTTTACAATAATGATCGTTTTGGCGGCGGTGAGTTTGATACAATTCGGTCCCAAGGGATATCCACCCATGATGAATTTCAATGGTGTTCCGGCTTTAATCGGTGCAAGTGTTTACAGTTTCATGTGCCACCATTCGTTGCCCGGATTGGTTGCGCCATTCAGTGAGAAACGGTATGTCCTACGACAATTGGGACTAGATTACATTCTCATATGTTCGTTTTATATACTTCTATCATTGACTGGTATATTTGCTTTCAACAAATTATTCGATCTGTATACGCTTAACTTCGTACCAAATGGAGACAATCCAACAAACTTTTTCATGCAACTGATTCAGTACTTCCTCGGAATGTTTCCCATTTTTACATTGTCCACCAGCTTCCCAATCATTGCCATAACGTTGCAAAACAATCTGAAAACATTGTTCCTCGATCCTAACAAGATGGATTCGTATAGTTTCGTTTTGAAACGCCTTACATTCCCGACATTAGCTGTAGCGCCGCCCATTTTCGTGGCTGTTTCCACCCACAACCTGAGTTCATTGGTTGAATTTACCGGGTCGTACGCAGGAGCGTGCGTTCAATACGTTGTACCAGCATTTCTTGTCTATCAAGCTAGAAAACATTGTAAAAGAGACATTGGAACTGCCACAAATAAATACGCGAGTCCTTTCAAAAGTTCGCTCTGGGTGTATTTTGTCATCTGTTGGTCCCTGGTTTGTTCTATTTTGGTTACACTAAATTTATTCGCCGAATTTTAAAGGTAATCAACATTACCTTTTAATTTTGGTACTTTAACCAAATCAATATAGTCTTTCATATATTTTAATTTTAAGAGAATTTAATTTGTAATAAGTAAGTGAGAAGTATAGCACAATAACGTGTATATTATAATGAGGGATTATTCTCGACTGACAAGTTATTAAATGGAAATACTGACTACAACGTCTATATATTTTTAAAAATGTCGATGTAAGCAAAGTGTTGAATGGTATTACAAGTATATTTTAATAATTGTATACAAATGTTATTTTAATTATTTGGACACTAAAAAACTAACAATAAATTTAATGGCAAATGTGATGTAACATATTTAATAGGAATAAAAATATAATATATATCAATGAAGCAATCTCTATTCAATTCAATTCCCAAATGTGCTAATATATTCAAGAAATGTTCTATATCAATGTTTATTATTGAGCCAAAAAGAAATATTATTCTATTCAAAACTTTTATAATATATAAACAAAGTAATAGAAATACAGTGGAACCACGCTTAACATATATAAAATACACATAATTTTTTTATGTCCTATAATTTTATTCATAATCTGTTCAGCAATGTGAACATTGAGTAAATTTAAGATCGAGGTTGACAATAGATGGATAATCTTTCCCGGTGGATAGTTACCATTCTGATGATTTGAACATTAATAATTACACTGTTGTCGAGTAGGCCAATAGCCAGAAAATTAGTATATGACTCCTGTTTGTCTTGGTATCTACTACTAAATGTTGCTATTATATCCTCGACCATATCTATATGAAGATCTTCGTGTATTTGTTTATTCCTGACAAACCATGTAGCCCTAATAATATTTCTTAGGCATTTTGATTTGAAGCTTTTTATAATTTGTATGTTCGATTTACTGGCCGCACCCCACAATTGGATACCATACGTCCATACTAGTTTCAGTATTACTTTGTATATGAGTAATTTATATTCTACTGATAATTCTGACCTTTTCCCTAGAAGCCAGTAGAGTTTTCTAAACTTTATTTCTAATTGCTACCTCTCAGCCTGAATGTGATCAAAAATACACACAAGTTTTAATAGTGATGTATCAGTAGCGGAATTTCTCATCGTCACTCGTTATGCTCGTTGATTCGCTTAACGAGTGATTCTTACAATTAATTTTGCTCGTTAAGCGATGTTCCACTGTTTTCGAAACACCCATGATAGAAAAACTAACATGTTATATAAATATTTGTGTCATGGGAAAGACTATCTGTATATACAATATGTTGATTATCCTACCAGGCTCTCCCATATCGCCCTTTTGCTGATATAATCAAACTGGATGGGGGTGGTGAAGAAATATTATATGCATAGATCAGGGGTGCCCAACCGAAATCGTTTGGTGGTCCAAATGAAACATTTATATGTGGGCCATACATATAAGAGAAATAAAAAGAAGAACTTATTCAAAATATTCTATTACCTTATATCTTTTTCATCATATTAATTGGTATCATATCATTGTTGTACGAATACCAAAATTAAAAATATAGAAAGCTAAAAACTTTAAAATAGCAGCCCATGGGTCGCGGGTTGGCCACGTCTGGCAAAGACTACACTGCAGAGTATTAGAATAAATATTGTTAATATTATTATTTTATATATGTGTTATAATGTTTAAATATTTGTTTGAGAATTACATCTGCTTGTGTTGTTGAAACCAATTTTATTTTCGCCGCATTTATCTATTAATATAACTTAAATATTAATAAAAACATATTTGTTAATTGCTTGGAATTTTATGAGAAATTTTCTGAATTTAAATTATTTGGCGCTTATACTTATGGCGCCTCGAATGCCGATGTACTATAGAATCGGTGACTGCGCCACCGCAGTAGCCATTGGTCTTGAAGTTGTGAATTGTATTAAATGTTTTGAGGTTATGCATATGGTACATGCTGTGTTCATCATTCGTAAAAAAACGTCTTAGTGATTGTGAATGGTAAATTATTAAAAATGGCTCAAAACGGTGAGAATGTTGAATATTTGCGGCGTATGCTTCTTGAAGCTGATGGTAGCCCAGACAGTGAGAAGGAGATAGAAGAAGTATTGCTTGATATCAAAGACTCACATTACTGGCTAACATTGAAGGAACATAATTATTGTAATAGTAATTTGAAGAGACATTTTGAAACAAAATCAGAAGTAGACAGGGAAAAATTCTTCCGGTTTGCTATCTCTTGCATATCTACCTTTGTCCAAGCCAATTTCACAGGGCCTCCAATTAATGATGAAACAGATCATTTTTTATGCAATAACCAAGATTTGCAAAATGTTGATTTTAGAAAACTGTTAGCTGTCAGTAATGAGGAGATAAATATAAATACAAAGTATCCATCTCTATTGATTGCTAGTCAAGTTGTGTTTAAAACTTGTGAATTAATACCAACCCTTAACTTATGGTGGCAATGGAGAGGCCTCTTGGTTCACCAGAGAATCCTAGAGGAATTAAGTCCAGCCTTGCTATCTAATGCTGAAAATATACAAAAAGATATGCGTGACTTGCACCTAACAGGTAAGTTTGAAATAATATGCATTTCTTACATATTTGAGTATTTACTTCTATTTTTTTCTTCTTTCTTTTGAATACTAGAATCTGGAAATCTGGGTATTTTAATGAACATTGAACAAGCACAGCTATTTGGAAAATTTAGGAGTATAGCTAAAGTAGATCAACATATCAAAGCAGCTGCAAAATCTTTGGGATTAAAACATGAATTAATTGGTAAAATGGGCAAAAGAACAAAGCATCAAGAAAATGATATACCTCAGCTAAGTTTGAAAGTGGAATTGGAGAGAAGAGAAGGTCTTAGTAGACACTTGGTCACTAAAAATGAGGGTCCCATAAATGTGGCTCTGAATGATGATGTACGTTTGGAAACTGTTGAATTTGCTGATAAAAATGAAGCACCAGAGCTCAGTGACTTAGAACAAAAACTGCTGCTTTTAGTTGCACAACATATGATCATGTCTAAACCACAAGATGATTTATATTTTGAAGAGCTGAAGCCTTTTATTGATACAGTCCTCAGCCAGAATAATACTTGGTGTGTAGCTGCGTATACCCTGCAGTTGCGTTGCAATTTGGAGGCTAAACATAATAGGACTATTGAACGATGTCTAATCCAGTGCGAAGAAGTGCTAAATTCAGTGAAGAAAGAAAATCCGCCTGTCATAAGAAGGATTACCGGTTGTTATAATACCAGCTTAAATCCAATCTGGATGGTAGAAGAAACGTATGCTCACTTAATGTTAAATTTGGGATTGATTAAGGCGAGTTTGGAAGTTTACATGAAACTGCAACTCTGGGAAGAAGTTATTGTCTGTTATACGATTCTTAAAATGCGTCACAAGGCGACCGAAATTATCAAGAAGCAGTTGAACATTCGTCCTACAGTCAAATTATATTGTTTGCTAGGTATGCTTACCATATTGTTAATTCGTATACAAGAAATAATAATAAATATTCCGTTTTAGGCGATGCAACTGATGATTTAAGTTGCTATGCTAAAGCTTGGGAGTTTTCAAAGAGACGCAGCCACAGGGCGCAAAGGCACTGGGGCTTGTATTATTTCATTAGGAAGAAGTATGCAGAGTGCATTCCACATTTCGAAAAATCGGTAAGTATAAATCCGCTCCAGGCCATAGTTTGGCTTCGTTTGGGCTTTGCTGCGTTGGAAACCCAGAATTGGCAGATCGCTGCAACGGCTTACCGCAGATACACAACACTGGAGCCGGATGGTTTCGAAGCTTGGAACAACCTGGCACAAGCTTATATCCGACTCGGAAATAAGAGAAGTGCGCATCATGCTCTGCAAGACGCCCTGAGATGTAACTTTGATAACTGGAAAGTGTGGGAGAACTTTTTGGTGGTCAGTGCCGACATTGACAACTACTCGGACGTGATTCGGTCGTACCACAAACTGCTCGATCTTAAGGGCAAATATACAAATATCGATGTTTTAAAAGTTTTGGTTTATGGAGTCTGCAACGAAAACAATGCAGGAGATAAAGCGCTCATGAAGAAAACCCGCGAGTTGCTGGGAAGAGCAACTTCAATATTTCCTGGTGATGGTATCCTTTGGGAACTATACGCTTGCGTAGCACCTATTCTTATGCTAAAGATTCAAAGGCTTCAGAGGGCATTGAGGGGATTTACCCAAGGAAGTTGGACAAATGATATCGAAGTTTGCAAGCATGTCCTTTATATCTGCCTAAAGTTAGGAGAAGCCGTTATGGATGACTCCATCTCATCGAAAGATACCATTGTAAACTCTGTTAAGTTGAATATCAACGCAATAATACCAGTGGTGAAAGTCATAGATAATGCCGAAATATTAGTTCTTTTGCAAGAAGTCGTCAATGTGGTAACGAAAATAATGAAGAAGATGCATTCTTAATCTCTTTTTTTTATTTCATATATTATAATATATATATATTAAGAATTATATTTTGTAAGAAATAAGAAATAAAAAACTTTATTACTTGTTTCATTCAGGGAGTTATTCTTTTCGGATCACGTGGGAACATCGAAGTTTTCCTGATGTTGTCCAATCCCAAGTACAACATTACCACGCGCTCCATACCGATTCCGCCGCCAGCGTGCGGTGGGCATCCAAATTTGAAAGCATCAATGTATGCCGCGATTTTCGTCAAATCTATATAGAATAGAAATTAACATTAATTATTGAAATTACATTATTCTTGATCTTTGAAAAATTAATAAATACTTTTAAAAGAAATTTACCTATTCCATGATGTTTTGCCCTTTCTGTCAACAGGACCGGATCGTGGATCCTCTGAGCACCGCTTATAATTTCTTCTCCCCTCATAAACATGTCATATGAGTTGGAAGCAATCTTGTTGTTGGGGTCAGGCATGGTATAGAAGGGTCTCACCGCCAATGGGTATTTGTCCAGAATATAAAAGTCGGTGTCATATTTGGCTTTTACAAGTCTACCTAAGAGTTTTTCAGCCGGAGTGCTCAAATCATCTTCTTCGCCTACTTCAACGCCAGCTTCGCCGAGCAGTTTTCTGGCATCATTGAACTGCAGAACTAGTGGAGGCTCGAGGAAGGTGAATGGCTCAACGTTGTATTGCTGACGAACAATTTCAATTTCTTTAGAATAATTGTCTCTCAAACCTTTGAAAATAGAATTGAACAGATCGCCAATAGTCAACATAACTTCATGGTAATGATAATTAAACGCCATTTCCAAGTCTAATCCGACGAATTCAGTTAAATGCCGATGGGTATTTGAGTCTTCGGCTCTGAATACAGCACCAACGGTGTATACTTTCTCAAAATCGGCAGCGATTGCCATTTGCTTATACAACTGTGGACTTTGAGCCAAATAGGCGGATCCTTTGAAGTAGCTCACGGTGAAAACATTGGCTCCGCCTTCAGAAGCAGCGGAAATTATTTTTGGAGTATGAATTTCCGTAAACCCTTTGCCGCTCAATGTATCACGGAACAACTTGCAGACACCAGCTTCCAATCTGAAGATCGCTTGATTCGCTGGTGTTCTAAGGTCTAAGATACGGTTGTCCAATCTTGTATCTTGATTAACACGAATATTTAATCCCTCGTCCTTCAATAGTATTAATAATATTAAAAACAAATCATCATTTTTAGCATGCTGGTTACATTACCTCACTTTTCTCTGGGCGAGCAGCATCTTCAATTTGCAAAGGCAATTGAGGGGCAGAACTGGAGACAACCCAGATCTCTGATGCAATCAATTCAACATCTTGTTGGCTGCATCCTGCAACTCCTGCAGCAACCTCAGATACTTTAGCTTCAACATCAACTATGCTCTCCTTGGTAATGCTAAAATGATTATAATTTTATCTGTTATGTAATCATTTTGATTAGAAATATTTTTTGCATTACCCACTGCTAAATTTAACCATAGACTTGGATATGGATTCAGAGACATTGATTAAAACTTGAACAGTGTGTTCTCGTTGTCTCAATACAATGAAGCATTGCTTTCCCCTAGCCCTAACAGCATGCAATCTAGCTCGCACCCATACTGTTTTACCAGCCAGATTCTTTGCCAATTCCTTGATGTAAATGAAGTTCCTTTGAGGTAAAGTCACATCTGAGCAGATCAATGGGAAATTTCCATATTTGCCAGAGGACACATCAACTAAAATATACATATATGAAAACAATATTCCACATATTCTGATATCTGTACACATACCTTCTTCAACAGCTGGAACTTCAGAGGGTTGATTAGACTTATGTTCTGCTTTCTTGGCAGCTTTTTCTGCCTTCTTAGCCTCCTTTTTGGCTGCCTTCTTACTTTCTTTAACTTCATTTACTGTATCTTGAACCATTTTGCTGAAATAATATAAAATATGTAAATTATAGCAACATGCTTAACCTCACTTCTTTATAATATCTAGTAATAATGAACTACCTATAACTGAAATTCTCTTTCTTTAATATGACTAAAATCTAATTGCACTTGATAAATTTTATTGCATCAGCAATGCTTCTAAAATACAACTAATATTTGTTGTTGGCAAATCTAAATATAGACCAGATTCAACTGAATCACGGATATGCTATAGATAACTCAAGATAAAATTGTTAAGTAAATAAAAAGGTCATTTTTTATTAATAAGACTTACGAAGGCACAACTCAATATTATACAGGTTGGATAAGGAGTTTTCTTTTATTTTTGAAAATTCCTAATTATGCTTAAACCCCAATGCAAGGTTACCAAAGTATAGAAATTAAAATCGATATAACCTAAAACAAGAAATCAAAATTGTTCGTGTAAATTCTTTACGATATTTATTATTAAGTGAATTCCAATTGATTTTTGTACAGAATATTTTATTCATAAGGAAATAAAGCAACGTCTGTGTAATTTCATGTGCAATATATAAATTTATACTATCAGTTTTGCCTGATAATTATTTTAATTTGCGTACTTAAAACTGCTCGTACCATTAGTAACAATACAATCAGCAAAATGAATAGCATTGGTGAAGCTTGCAACGACCTGAAAAAGGAATATGATTCATGTTTTAATACCTGGTTCTCGGAGCACTTTCTAAGAGGGAATACAAATGATTCCATGTGTGCCCCATTATTTAAAGTATACCAAGACTGTGTTAAGGTAGGAACAAAACCAAAATATAAATTGAGTTTAATTAAACTATATAATTTCAGAAAGCAATGAAAGACCATCAAATAGATTTGAAAGAATGTGAAAAAGATCTATTAGGTACTGACCAAGAGAGAAAGGTTCCAAATGCAAAGAGCTGACAAAGCTTAAGTTTCTGATGACCAAGCAGTGTTCAAAGTATGAAAGCTTAGTATTAGTTTTTAATTTTATTGGAAAGAGTTACCTAAATCTATTACAGACATTAACATATATAAAAACAACAAACTTAAATTATTTATTTTCCCGATGCGAATTTAGATAATCCTTCAAGCAAACCAATATAGGCAGACTGTTCAAATGCTGTGCTGTATTCTGATAACTTTTCAACAAATTCGTTGGAAATTCCCTTCTCCTCCAAATAGTTCAACAGCAAATCATATAAGTAAGAGTCTACTACTTCTCCAGAAACAGCATATACATTTTCATTCCACTCTCCATTGTAAATACTGATCTCATCAATGCCAAAGACATCATTGTATCCTTCCTCTTGTTCATTTGGTCCAATAAATGAACAGACAAGACTGACAGTAGTTTCACCACGGATCAAGTCAACTTTGAATGAGGGCTTAGATTTCAATTCTCCCATGTCTGGTTTTTCCATATTTGGATGCATTTCAGCTTCATGATCAGTATCTACTGTATGGTTAACATTGAATCTAATGTTAATGCTGCAAACAAAAGTAATGTAATGAGGATATTAATGATAGTTAATAATAATTTACGTTTCTGCATCTGTTTTCTTAGATAGAGATACCTCAGCACCATTCAACTTAGCCTGGAATCCATCAATTTCTGTTGGAATAGTTTTGGACTTCTGTGCTTTACGTTCAGCTAGAATCTCTTCAGCCAGGAATTCAACCAATTCTCTTTCACCTGCAAATTTTATTGATGTATTTATTAGATCCAATTGGAATAAATTGTCTTTGACTGATTTGTACCTTTGGTATGAACTCCAACTTTGCCACATCCACAGCTGCAAAGCTCAGTGGGTTTATGGAAAGGAGTAACATTGTCGGTGTTGCGGGAACTGCTCATGTACCAGAGATTCCTAGTTAATTGTCTTTGCTGTGTGATGGTGTTGGCGCAAACCACATTCTTGACTGGATGCAAAATACCTCGTAATCCAGTCAAACGAGACGCTACTTTAATAATGTTGTTCATTTTCTTATAGATTTAATTCAGTTCGTCCTTAATTTCTCAATATTAACTTATATTACACCGGCTAAAAAACGTGATTTCGACTAAAGTGAAGTTGTAGCGCGTTAAAATGTGATGTTACGTCATACTTTCAAGATGACCAACCATACACTCCTAACTATGATTTTCAATTGGATCTGATAGTTTTACATGAATCTTGCTTTTAAAAATATTTTAATTATATAAATTAACAGTATGCCTATTCAATATAAAAAGGGAGCCATGAGATGGGCAGCCCTATACATAATTTAGAATATATTATACAGGTACTCCTCACGTCGTTCAGCGAATCGGTCGATAAGCAAGGAGCTTGCGCCGGGAATATATAGGATCGTTCTATAAAAAAATTATGCAGCAAAATTAAAATTTAAGCAGATAGGTCGTAAAGTGAGGAATACCTGTATTGGTAATTTTATAGATAGGTCGTAAAGTACGGAGTACCTGCATTGGTAATTTTATATTTGAAAAATAGTTTGGTTATAGATATCCACTGTTTGTATATTTCCCAAAATGCTGGTTGGAAAGACCTCAATGTTTATAGCTCAAATTGTTTAATTAAATAGAAATCGATTCTTTTATTATTAGTAATATTTAAATGTTATGACTGAACAACTATATTCATTATATCCTCTTTTAATAAATTAAATTTTGTTACAAAATATTGTAATATAATCATTTGCAACTTCACTATCAATACTATTTTTAAATTTCATGCTTTTCTAATAATAGTATTGTGAACTAGAAAAAACTTTATTCTTGACGTTACCAACTTGGTCGGGATTAAATTAGGAACTTTTAAAAACTCATTTTATTCATTTTTATTTTACCTTTTATCATAATTGTATATATATTTTTGAATTCACACATGAAAATATTTATTATTATAAGAAAATAAACACTATCCTGCACTACATGAATAAAAATTATATTAGTTAGCATTACAGTTTGTCATGCATGGCCTAAATATAAATGCTATTTGCATACACGTATGTTAAAACATCAATAATGTGTTTGAAATTCCATAAAGATACATATAGACTGCGCCATTTAACTGAAACATATTTTCGAATAGGAACAAAACAAAACGACAATAATTTAGACTTTTTACAGGATCACATTTTCGTTATTATTTCTTTTATTATTATAACTATTGAATACCAAAAAACTTCAACGATTCAATATTTAAAAGAAAGAATATATGGGCAGTTTAAAAAAAGTTATAAGTTCGGAACCAAAAGACGACGATAAGACAATGCCCTAAGTGCGGGTTGTTTTTATTGTAAATATATTGTATACCCTCTATGTGATTCAGGGTAAATTGTATTTAACATACGGTACTTCGACGTCGTTGCCGATTTCATCGTTGCAGCATAGCTCGAACACCAAAGCCTTCACGTGTGGTTCTAAACGCTTCTTGGATACCTTCTTTACAACCTCGGACATGGGCAAAGCAAGGCGTTCTTGCGCTTTGGCCTTACCCATAAAGAAAGAGTACAGCATGCAAACACCCTGCGACAACATGGTAATTTCTAAACCGTGCTTCTGCTTGAAGTATTCCAAGAATTCGCTCAAAGTCATCTCGCCTTGCACTTCAAATCTATCCCAAAGAGTCCATTCGTTACCGCAGTAGTCCATTTTAGGCGCAGCGATGGGCTCGGAGAAGCCAAAGAACGGCAAAGCTAAATTAATGAAGCCATTTTTAAAGATTTCCAATTTCTTGGTCCCTCTTGCGAGTTTGTACAATTCCAGACAAACTAAGCCAGCGACAACAGAGGTGGTGGTAGCAATAGCGGGAATAATTTTACCAGCAATCAATTTAGACTTATGACGATCGGCTTGCTGTATCTTGTAGTTAGATGCCCTCAAGTTGGAAGCTGCCACGATAAAATCGATATGTAAATTGTTATCGTCGTCCTTTTCGAATTCCAATGGTGTCAATTTCAAATCTCCCAGCTCCGATACTTTTGGAAGAGTTTCTTGCAGTGTCCCAACTTTATCTAAATCTACGTTGGCGCCATTCGTGACGGCCATCTGAGAATCAGTTACTGCAATCTTGACGCCCGATTTTGGAACAAACTCTGGTACATGGACAGCCATAACCATTTCCTTAATCTCATTGCGATTCCTGTTTTGTGGAATGCCGTATACTTCGGCTTTAAGATTAGCTCCTGTGAAGACGTAATCCAAGTGCAATGGATTTTCTACATCAAAAGTGAGTGGCTCGGGGCAACGTTTAGGTCCGGACCAAAATAATTGACCAGTGGATGTTAACTGATCTGGTGGGAAATTGAACAGCAACTGTTTAATTTGATTCGAATATTGTTCCTCCCAATGCAGACGAGCCCACAGTACGCAGTCCTGAACACTTTTCGGGCGATCGTCAACTAATGCGGCCTTGACCGATTCCAAAACTTCGATCGGTTGAACACCTGGCAGCGCAATGGTACGTTCGATGAAAGTAGGGTCTGTTAAATACTGAGATGCATTTTCCGCGGATTGCTTGAAAAGACCCTCAAAATTGTCACGGGCCCACTGCAATGTATGTTCAATAGCGTTAGGGAAGTTCTTCAATGTACAAATAGGTATGCTTTTCTCTGGGGGATCCTGGGATGAGCTGTATGATTCGCTGAGGAATGGAACTACAACTTGCGTATTTCCTTTTGTTCCAAGTGTGCCAGATTCCAATAAAGGTTTCCTGTAGTACACACATCTCCTGTCCATGTAGATACGTGCATCAACGTTGTCCAAAGCATTGGCGACTGCATCCAAGTTCTCGAAGAAAGCATCGTCGTAAACATTTTCAGTTTCGACTCCGACACGATTTTCATGTGCAACAATATTAATGTCAGGATTCATTTTCCTAATTACCTATGACCAATTAAAATACAATATTAGAAACATTATATTACCACATGTTATGGAAATATTCGGTTATACACACTTCAGAAAGACTAATCGGTATTTATCATAAATTATCAATGGTTAGCAATTTCATCATTCAATAAAGATTATAAAAATTAATATTCTTATAGGAAATATCATAAAGTTTATTTACCTTTGCAGCAGTGGCAGACTTGAAGCATTGTACATCATGCGGTCTGAATAAAAATTGTCTGTTCAAGTTAGACTTTTCAATGAGATCCATGTCAGTTACAGTAACCTGGCCACCATCACCACCTAATCCAATCATTGCAAAGTTCTTCAACAATTCACAGCCAATAGCGCCAGCGCCAACAACAAAGTATTTGAGTCCACCTAGAACCATGTAGAATAATAAATTAAATAGTATTAATAAAATATAATTATTAACAAACCAATTTTCTTTTGGAATTCCTTGCCAAAAACAGCAACTTGTCCATCATATCTTGAACCAGTTGGCGCTGCCAATTCTTCTGTGATTTCTGATAAATCTTCAGGCAAACACTCAATAGCATCAAAATACATGTATTGGTAGATTGGATGGAATTTGCCAGAGCATGCTTTCATTACTTCTTGAGCAACAACACCACCAATTGTTGCATTCATTGGGTTTAAGTCTCCAGCACAAACTTTAGCAAAGGTTTCCAATAACTGATTATTGATTTCAGTGTCATTACCACCATCAACAGAGATGGTTTTGGCTAAGGAAATGAATTCTTCTGCATCTGCTATGTTCCATGGTTTTGGCTTTCTGCCATTTTTCTCAATAAACTTGTGTAATGTGTTAAAAGCTATGTGCAGCTGTTGAGGATGATCAAACTTTCCAAAGTCTGTATGTACAAACTCTGGAGTCTTCATAGCTTCTGTGAGTGATTTAAACTGCAGAACCTTTGGCATCTTGACTTGTGTGGCAATGCCTCCACGTTCATATTTAGTGAATTCAGTGGTGTCACCAATGCTAAATGTGTATGGACCCAACACTTTGATTTTAATTGGTTTGCAGTTATTCAATTCAGTCATACCCTGAACTTCTGAGAAAGTAACATGGTCACCATCCTCCATACCATGTCTGGTGTCATCTATGCAAGTGACAATGGCATCCTTATCTGAGGATATATCAGCAATCATAGCTGAAACATTGGATTCACCATTGATATCAACAACTGAGAAAGCTGGTCCAAAATCACAGAAGACTTGAGCAAAGAGGCCTCGGGTATCTGCTATGATCAAAGCAATGTCATTAGCATGAGTGAGTTCACTGAGACGAATCTGTTCAGCAAGGGAACTAGCTGTGAGGACAACCACACGAAACTTTTTGAGAAAGTCTTCAGTGAGGGGGCCTGTATAGGGCTTGGTGGGGACATAGTTGTTGAGTTCTGAGAGATGCTTCAAGCATGCTTCGGCACGGTTCTTGCCGACATCGCTCTCGGACAAGTAGAATTGCGATGACAGGTCAGCGATGGTGCAAACAGCTTCGTCATGCAGAGTGACGGACTTGACGCCGCCAAGAATGACGTTTTTAGCAATTTCCAGCCCGAGGCCACCCAAGCCCGAGATGAGGACGTCACTGGACGCCATCCTCCTCATGGCATCGTGCCCCAGGACATACAATTGTCTGGAATACAGCCCTTCGTCGATGTCGGTCGGCTTCGACGAAGCACCCGCTCCATTGTTCGCCATTTCTGTTGAAGTTGTCTGTGTATCTCCGATCTTCCGTTTCTTGGTTGGGGGATCGACGGAGCTATCTACGATTTCAGCACTAGACATCGGACACACAAGAACTCAGTTTTGAAAAGTTTCTCTTACTCGAATTATCCCTTTTTTACCAACTTTTTATATATTTCACGTATTCTAAATTATCAATCACTTACTCCCAAGCACACCGGGTTAAGCCAAAAACGTACGAACAAAGACGAATTCACCGATGAATATAGCTACTTATAATTTACTACTACCACCATCGAAAGCAAAAATATCACTACACATTTTATCCAATTTGATTCTATTTTCTTATTTTATATTTTCATTTTGAATAGTGATCACAAATAAATGTTATTATTAATAATTAAAGATGATTATTTTAATAATAATATATATTTATATATAAATATATTTTAAAATGGCTTCGAAAATCAATGAAAGGAAACAGTTCCAGAATACGCATGAACAAATTTCATGCATCTAAATTTATCATGAAATAATTGATCAAATCTGTAAACTGTACATCCTTCACTAACTAATAAAATATATTTCATAAATAGCCATAATCGGTATTTTTAATGATATTTGAATACATTTTCATCCATTGAAAGTTACAACATAGAATGTCATACCATATACATTGATAATCCATTAATTTGTAAAAATAGAATTCATTTACCTATATTTACGTGATAGACATTTCACAAAACCGTCAAACTCTTATATACATTATTGAGTTGCAATAAATAGACGACATTCATGCTAATATTCTATTATAATATAATTGTATAAAAATATTATTTTTTTTTATTAGTTTTTAGAAGACATTTATTTCTATTAAGGTTCTTTAAATGTATTAATACAAGAACAATTTATTTTGATTTTTTTTGATAAGAATTTCAGAATGCCATATGATTCAGTTGTTAATCATTATTACCGCATATGTGACATTTTTTTGATATATGCATTAAATAAGTATTTTCTACATATATTTTAATACTTAGATACATAAAATCTAAGCTATTTGATAACGTAATATTAAATAAATAAATTAGTTAAAAGACAAACCTTCTATTCTAACTTTCTAGTTAATATATTAAATAAATTTACAAACAAATGGAGGACTGTAGTCATTCTGCCTTCTTTATAATAGTAATGATGTTATCTATTCTCATTGTATCAAATTATTTCACATTTTTATATGATATTATTATACAATCCTACAAATAAGAGTATAAATAAAGCATTATAAACAAATACAAAATGTTACTAAGCATAATAAAAAATCTAATAAATAAATAAACGAATATATTTTACTTACATAAGCGAAAACGACTGCAATAAGTAATGCAATATTAAATCTCTAAGATAACTTACTTTTTTCTCTCTCTTAACTTTTGCGTTTATATATGCATGTAGAGATAAGGTAGATAACAATGATGTACAACAAAGGAATTAGTGATAATAAAATATAATGCACATGTGGAACTATTAAATTCATTGAATTTATTTCACGCATTTTTTTTGTTCAAGAAATCATTTTACAACCATGGTTCAAAATTACAAACATCTACTATTCACTATAAAACACAAACATCTTATATACAGGCTTCTTTTTGTAAACTTTTTTATTTTCTTATATAAATAATATTCTATAAAGCTTTCAACAATCTGATTTCGATTCTATATATATTGCTAACATTGTTCTATTTTAGTTCCTATCGAAGAGGTCATCATCATCTTGATCGATGCTAATGCTACTGCCGAATATCTCTTTATTGCCAATGGAAAACCTCGGACGGCCGTCATCTACTGGTTTACTGCTTTTAGTTCTTGTAAGATAAGAAAACAGAATAGTTTGAATTAGACTATAATTAAATTCTATTTTATTATATTAAATATTAATTATCATCATTTATTTTCATTTGGTTCATTAATGTGTATTGTCAAGTTGAGACTATGTAAAGAAGATATAAACAATATTTAATAAACGGAATATAAATATCATTGAATTACAAAATACTAGTTTTTAGAGATACTTAGAGTAATTTGTTTCAGATTTTGTTAATTTTCAGTAAATAAAATAAGGAAATAGAATAAAATGTTTCAATGGTTGAAAATTAACAAATTGTGAGAAATTAAGTAAGTGAAATTAAGCATCACTCGTGAAATTCAAACAGAATTTAAACCTACTCGATTTCCTTTCGCGATTGCCGTCCTGTGACCTTGCCTCCTTCCGAACCAGAACTTTTAGTCCTTGCGGAATTATTCGATCCCGGCCGTCCGTCCCAAGAATTGTGTCTCCTGTGATTCCCAACTTTACCCAAAATACTACGAAAGCAAACACGTGTATTTTTTTAATAAATCGTACACTTGTTAAATCAAAATATTTACTTCTCGCCAATCATTCTCTTGTCTAGCTCTTTCTGTATCGATTCCGGAAGATGTGACGAATCCTTAAAAAAATATCATCAGTATTCGATTGTTGCGATTGTATGTAAAAGCTTTTGGTATACCTTTTGTGGTTCGTCCATAGGATTTGTCCAAATATTTGGATTAGCAGTTGATTCTAAATCTCCGGTGTATCTGCTCAGATCTGAAGAGATCGCGGATTGGGCGTTGATTAGGGGCGATCTCACGCAAGCTCTAGATTCATCTCTGTTGTAATAAATTATCTAGCATTCATCACACATCACGCATTTGGAACGATGGCTGTTCCAAATTAGAACTAGGAATAAAATCTACTTACGAATTGACATCCTCCAATTTCTTGAGCAACCGTTCGTTCTCCCTTGACACCACCTCTTGGTCCCTGAGAAGAGCATCTCGCGAGGTGAACAGTTCCTCATTTTCCGTCCTCAGAGCTTCATTTTCTGAGATGTAGAGTCTGACCAGTTCAATCAGTTGAGGTCCTTCAAGCTCAGCCAACTTTTCAGGATCTATCTTTGGTGGTGTTCTGATCACTGGACGTTCTACTATTAAGAAAATGCATGAGTTTTAATGCCTCCATAACAACATATCTGGTATTGGTAATGCTGTAATGGATTCTTGATCATCTAATTTTGACAAATTTTGGGAAAATATTTGTTTTGTACCTCTGGTGGGACTCGAACCCACAATCCTCGGCTTAGGAGGCCGATGCCTTATCCATTGGGCCACAGAGGCTTGGTGACATTATTTAAACAAAAATAGAAGGCTACGGCGACGCGCGCATTTTTTTCTCGTTATCTATTTTGGTTGTATTTATGGAGTGTAGTAGATAAATAGGTGTCGGACATACCCGAATGTTGGTCGGCCACGCTCGAAGGATACCCGTTCAAGGCCGAACGCAGATGTTCATTTTCGGATTGAAGAACGGCCACCTCACGCTTCAAACTCAGAATCAAGGCTTCGCGTGGATCCTTAAAATTGAACACTTTCATAGTTATAACGCACAATCAAGTAATTTGATGTTGCGCTGATAATAAGTTATTCAACATTGATGGAAAACTTATTCCATTTGTTTTTATATCAATTATCAAATATTATTAAAATGCTATAATGTTGACAATATCTGTGTTATTTAGCTAAGTCTAATTGAATCATAAGTAAGGTCCTTACATATATAACATGTCGGATTGTTATAAACTTATGAATACCCACATTCTATTACTTTATATTGTTACCTTGTTCCCACATAACACATACTGAAAGTTCCTAATTTTAAACATATAAAAATTGGAAGGAAATTTGATATATATATATAATGATGGAAATGCAAATTTGGGATGCATCAGTTTTCTCTTCAAAGTGAGCAAGATCTCAAGGTAAATTATAACAAACATTTAAAATAAAATGAATGTAGGCAAAATTACTTATAATCTTACTACCTAAGAATGGAAAGAACTATATGATAATACTTGGTTGGAAAAATACAATTATAAGTATTAAAAGAAGGATACATTTTGAATATGATCATGGTGATTTTATAATTAATTAAATATATAGTTACCATCAAAACAATCGGTTTGGTCCTGATTTTCTTGGCTCTTGCCGCATATCGTAGTGTGTTCACAGTTTCGGCTAAATTGAATCTTGCTGGTGAAATGCACGCGATCTGGAAATATGAGATGAATATAACCAGCATCAGTGCCACTTTAAAGGCTATACCATAAGTGTGACCCCATTTCCAGCAAGAGAATCCGCTAGCAATTTTGTCAACTTTGAATCTCTGTACGGAATATGATTGGTTTTCCTTTTCCGATCACTGAGAGAAGCGATGCAATAACCTAAAGAAAATGCAAACATCGATGGGTAATTTTATTGTTGCGTTTGTTAAGATTCTTGGAAGTTTTTCATGCCTCTGCGATTCGGAAAGTCAGTGAAATCAATCCGGTGATGGGAAAGGTTATCATCAATTATGAATTACTCATTTTGACCCATAATTGTTTCATGTCTTCTTAATATAGTATGGGGCGGGTATCAATCGGAATTTATTATTTATTCAGATTGTTATTCGATTAGCGGTAACCTCCGAGAGACAACAAAAAATGAAGCAAAAACTACTAATACTATTTAGTGAATGATTTACGTTGAAAATAGATAATTGAAAATAAGGGATAATCAATTGATCATTGCAAACCATTATATAATTTTGTATCATTATATCGATTAGTAATTTCTTTGAAACGCAAATCACTGTGAGAAAACACACGTTGTCTACGTTTAAGGTATTTAATTACTGCAGCCCCTCCAGTATAAAATAAGTTCATGTACTCGTTCATGTATTATACTAAACATTGGAGCTGTATTTAATGCAGTCTGTATCGAAAACTAACTAGTGGGAATAATTTAGTTGGGGTAACGTATGAATTACGTGTAGCTCGGGCTGGTAGAATCGCAGCCTTAGATTGTTTTATTCCCATCGCCACTGGTAAAATATATAAATGGGGAAATCTCACCTAAAACCATAAGACTTTTGTTGATGTTGTTGGCTTCCTCTAACGTCTTTCCTTCACTTCTAGTCTTCTTCGTCATCTCACTTCCGGCCAAATCGACGAAGTTAATTTTCCCTGATCGCGAAATAAAGACGCCATTCTCCGCCGGTTGTTCGGAGGTGATGTGGACGGATAAAATAGTGTGGCTCCGGCTGCAAAAGCAATTCACGTAATTCGAATGCGCTGCGGAGATTTCCGTGTCTCACCTGGAGTTCTCGTTCATGTGATGACTACCCATTGATCTGTTCCGCATGCCTTCCTCGAGAACTGCGAGCAAGTCATCTAGCTCCTCGCAGTCGACGGTGAACAAATTCTCGACGAAAAAACCGCGCGCCTTTTTGCTCCAACGCACGGCCAGAGGCTTTCGCAAGGATCCAGGGTTTAGCAGATCTATGACCTGCAACAAAATTGTGTGATATTCAGTGAGAAAATGCAAAAGATTGCATCGGCCGGGAATCGAACCCGGGCCGCCCGCGTGGCAGGCGAGCATTCTACCACTGAACCACCGATGCTTACATCAAATATCTAGAAATGGGAATTCCGATCCAAATAGTTAAAGCAGTGTTTCTTATACATTTTATGGGATATTCTACTAACTAGTCGTTAGTTTAAATTGTTTTACATAATAGAGTAAGTAAACAAATTTGAAATGACACTAATATAGTGGACAGTTGATTCATTTGTAAAAAATAAGTAAATAAGAAATCCCGGCAAGAATCATAAAACGACTAATGTTATTAAAATGCTATTGTTTCTTCATTACACTCCACTTAAACTACATCCATTGGTCATAAAAAAAGCTTGTATATTTGTATCATGTTTTAAAGCAGTATTTCCCAAACATATTTGTCCTACTTCCCACAAAAAAAATTATTCAGCGCCCCCTGGATTTTTTAAATTTTAATAGCAATTAAACAGAAAGATATATTAATGTTTCTACCGTGCACTTTGGGAATCACTGTTTTAAAGTAATAAGTAATAAATAGATATCATTTTTCTTTAGATTAAAGATCCGCTAGAATAAGTTCAAACCTCAAGGTAAATGCTTATTCCATTAACACGAGTTTTTCAGCAACTAGATAGAATTCTAGTAATGATTTTTTATATTGTTAGTTGAAATAAGATTTCCGTTATAAAAAATCGTATGAATAATAGACAAGATCGCACTGATATAATAGACAAGATCTATTATTGAATGAATTTGTATCATGTTAATATCAATTTATTTGTAATACAGTAGATAAAACAGTGTTGCATTTAAAGTAAATATTATGTAAAGCGCCCTTAGTAACTTTTTTTTATATTGTTTATTATAATTTGATTTACTTGTATTCATTTTAATTTAATTATGTGTAACCATTACAATAAATATTATTAATATTATGAAATTAGAGCAGAACGAACTATGGTCAATAACCCTTTGAAGCAGTTAATCTTTTCTGTTGAATTATTATTATTATTGTTGTGTATGAAAATGTTCGAATTTATTTTCTTTACTGTTACAATAAAGATTATTATTATGAAACTTCTTTTTAACTTAGAAAGTACAACATTTTTTCAGATAAGATAATCGAAAAGTATGTAACTATAAGTTATGATTTATTAATGCATTATTTAACGATGAACAACGTGCGTGTAAAACTCTAATTCATTATCAATTTGAAAGTTGTTCAGTTCAGATGTTTTATGTTATTTCTTTTTAGTTTGCAATGATTTACATTGGCAGGAAAAATTATTATAGATTGCTCATTTTTATTACTTGCACATATAAAAAAAATACTTAATTTATGGTATACTTCAACAAAACTTCATATTTTATCTTTACAAAAATACATAAATACATATTTATAATTTCAATCATTGAAAGTTATTTTATACTATTAATAATAGTAATTTCTATAAATATTAATTATTAAATTAGAAGATTTGTGATTTAAATTAGAATTCTGTATAATTTGTCTTTTTAGTGTACGACCAATAGAATTGTTAAATATTATTAACAGTGACAGAATTTTAAATTGCAATGTTATTCAGGCCCCTAAATTGCTCAAGATTTTTTTGTTAAATTGTCTAAGGTCTAAGCAAATTTGAAGTTGGAGTATACGGACAAATTGCCATCAAATTGAACCAGAACTCGGGCAAAATTGTATTTGAGATTCCTTCTTGATTTGAAAGAGAAAGTCATATAGTGTCGTTTACATTAAAAAAGAAGTGGAACTTAGACACCAGTTTACTAATTAAGGGCCCTAAACAAATTATTAGTTGGACCCCCTATAGATCAACTTATTATTTTTTGTATATTTAACATTGAGCTTCAAAACGGTATTTGTATATTTATTTTATTAAGTGTAGTGAAGATAACTAGCATCGAACGTGATGGCTTCGTGCTTTTAAGAAAACAAACTTGGTTACGTTTATTAAACTTCTCCCACTTTAGAAGTACATTTATAAAATAATAAGCAATTGGTAATTCAGTGTAGATAAGATAGTAAATTTCTAGAAGTAGATAAAACTCTACTTACAAGCGCTTCTTTAAGTATTGCAATTCTCATATACGTAACAAAATGTTATCTTATCATCGGTTACTAGAAACTAAATTAACATTATTTAATTATACCTATTGTTCTTTTACAATAAATGAGTAATTTCAAATAAAGCAAAAGCTTGCATCGGCCGGGAATCGAACCCGGGCCGCCCGCGTGGCAGGCGAGCATTCTACCACTGAACCACCGATGCTTATAAATAATTTCTGTTAAACGTCATTCCAAACCAAAGTTTAAACTTTTAAACCAGTGTTTCCGAAATATATATCGAAATATACCAATACACATTTGTATATATTATCTTGATTACCGGACAAATGGCACATTCTCATATGTTTTGAGAATTAAGGTCAGGTTTGATGAGCTTATTCGTCGGTCCTTGATTTTAATCTAATAAGTTACTGAAAAGTTTTAAAAATGCAGACCAGAGTAAGTTTTGGGTTTATAAATACTGAACTAGAGTATTTGAGTCAATGGAGGATTATCGCAGAGACGCAAAAGTCGCACGTTTGGTTACTCTTAAATCGACGGGGCCTGAAAATTTAACATGGGCCCACGACTGCCTTAATGCGACTCTTCAATAACTGATACTTCCGTCATCCTTTGTTAACTAAAAAAATATTCACAATTAACGGTCCTCTCAAGTGTTTAATCCGCCACTGATTTGAGTATTTTCATGGTTCCCATGGTTATAATAAAGGCTTCTATATACAATTTAAATTATATATATTTTTTTTATGTTAGAATTTATTTATTTGTATGTATAGAATGTACTTTTTTTCTTATTGATGTTTGGCCAATAAATTATTATTATTATAAATACTAAATGAATGTTTTTTCTCACTTTTATTTTTTTTTATTGATTTTGTGTTATTGTCTACGCTATAAAATATTGTAGTAAAAGTTTGAACTATTTGATAGTTCTACTATTTTTAACATAACCTTATCATTTATATTTAACAAGCTCAGTATACCATGTATTCATTTGATAGCGATTAACAAAATTATATAAAGAAGTAGCAAATGTAGATACTTTGTATTTATGTATTCCAGTATTTTTAGAGATTATACTTTGGAAGACTTCTTAAGCTTAGCCAAAATAAATTTCACTTTTTTTTTTAAACTATAATATTCGAAATTTGTCAAATACTTTCAGAACAATGATAAAATATTTTCTATATAGAATATTCAAAAATATATTTATTATTGGTTATCACAATGATAACATATGTTAATATATAACAAAGACGTTTATGTCTCATGTCACAACTAGTGCGAATGCAGAATAACACACTGTTTTAATTGTATAAAATGTAACGCTTTGGTCTTTAAAGATCTTAATCCCTTTAGATACAAGAAATGTTTTATCATATAAGGGTCAATGATCTGCATGTTTAACATAGGTCGTTAAATTGCTTAAGCACCAGCATGGTAATGGATTTTATCACCTATGATTATAATTTTATCAGAGGGGTTGCGAAAGGTTAATGACTAAAAGATATTATCTGACAGGCTTTCGTAATTATATACCAATAATTCTGCGTAACTGCTTTTGTTGTTTGCAATATAAACGAACTCTGTAATGTATGTTAGTTATTATAATAATGTATAAATTATATATATATACTAAGTTTATCTTCAAATAAAAAATAACAGTAAAGTTTGCCCGTTGCCCCAAAATAGACCAATAAAATTTATAAATAAAAATTATAAAGTTATATTTATGTAAAAAAATCAATTTAAATCTGCGTTAATTATTTCATTGTTGATTTCATATTCATAAATGTACATTTCTTCATTTTTCAAGATAATAATGTTTACTTAATTAATAAGGTATTTTAAGAAAAAATCGTACATTAACATATTTTGTTTGAATTTGAAGTGAAATAAACATGAATTTCAGAAGTCTACAATTATCAATATATTCTTATTAAAAACATGAATTATTTTTTATGAAATTAAAATGTAATTAAAAATGTACATTGTCTGTGTTGACTGGAAATAGCAGTGATTAAAATTCTACATAAGTATTGAATACAAATTCGAAATTAAATGACTATTGATTAAATAATTAATTAATAATTTTGATATAGTTTAGATTTATATTTGCATTGTTCTTGGTAATATATTTTTGGTTTTAAGACGTAATATTAATAAATAAATAAATGAATTGAACTATTTTTTGTGAGACTTATTTCAAAACTGTGTATAATTATTTAGACGTTATAAATAATATAGATAATACCTTTTCATTGTAGATTTCCAGATAGCTAGCTTTGAGTACGAAGTGTTTTTCTGGTCGCTCCTTGATCAATTGGAACAGGTATAGGAATGATCGAAAAACAAGGCCGTGCTGATCGCTGTAAGGTGCCATCTTTTTTCCGAACTGTAATAAACATGTAATTTAACTATAGTTGAGATGTAATCACCAGGGTTTATCAATTAGGTTTTATTCATTAGGCACCTATGGCCCACAAATATTTTAAGGTCATACAATAATTTTTGGGACCTACAAAAAAGATTAATAATAGGATGTGACTAGGGCCCACGACAACCCAAATAAAGGTATATTATAATCCATTTAAATATTAATAATTGTTATTACCAAACCGGGTGGTCCAGTGAGGGTGTGCGTTTTTCCGCTTCCGGTTTGACCGTAGCAAAAGGCCGTGCATCTAAATCCTTCAAGCGACATTTCGATTAATCTTTTTACTCCGGAAAACTGGAGGACATCTTCTTGCGTTGCCGCCGGCTCGAAGACCACATTATACGAAAACTGTCGTGGTTTTTGCCCACTTCCACTCTCACACTTTTAACATGAAACAAAAAAAAAGTAATGGGACAATTTTAGTTATAAAAAAGCTTTTAATGAATAAAATTGATTCTATTCGGAACATCAATAACACATGCATATTAAGCGTTAAGTGAGGATATCCGCTTGATTATGTAAAAATACGACGTCATTTTTACCAAAATTTGTCCATTTCCTGGGAATTGTATCACCGTTTCGTCCCCACTTCGTGCTTCTCTATTGTTTAGTGGTCGCACTCTGTAAATGGAAATGTTGAAGTGTTAAGTAATGGAAAAAACTTATATTTAACCAATACCCCACTTACCTGACTACAACATTGATATTATCTTCACCTTCTTTGAATGTTGACAATATTCTTCGATTTGTACTAGTTTCATCTAATCTTTCGATACTGCCATATCTACACACAAATATAAAATACATATATGTTTTATATTTAATCCAAATTAATTATCTACCAATTTTACCATTTGTAATTATACAATTGATATAAGTGTAAACAAATTATAAAGATTTCATTGACGATTGTCAATTAAATAACCTTAAATTTTCGGTATCAAAATCTGCAAAAACTTAGAAAATTTTGTTATTATACTTCCTTATTTTTTTTATAATTGAAGATAACAAAATAATTTTAAAATATTAATGTTATAATAGGTTGGTAGGTACATAATTTTGTATTAAATAAAATAGTTCTCTCATTATTTTTTTGTAATGTTATAAAAAAAGTAGGTACATAAAAAATGATTAAAAATAGGGTTACACAGTTGATTGGAATCTAAATTTCATTCATTTATCATGATTATAGTTGTTTGCTTCATTTCATTTAAGTCAATTATGTATATAAGTATTATTAATTATGTGTATATATTTGTGGTTTTGACAGCAAATACATTTCCAATATTATTTTCTGCTATAAATACGAACTCTTTAATCGACGTTTACTTTTGTCTCATTGTCCATGTTAAATGATTAATTTCATTTACGCAATTGTGCGATGTTCATGGAAACCATGAAATTATAAATAATTATATAGATTTACGTACGCAAATGGTGTAACGATTTGGAAGATCGATTGAATTATTATTAATAATGCGTTTGACCTATTAATCATAGGTAAATCGTTCAAAATCTATTTTATCAGGAGGCTTTGAACAAAATGAAATGAAGAAAAATATCTGTATTAGGAACACTTTTTGTCCATGTTCCTATCAAAAATTACATCCGATAAGGATTGACTCTTTACTCTTCTCTCATTTCTACGAGCCAACGTCGTCCTTACTCTTCCTATCCCATTCTCATCATCTCCATTTATTTCCTGTAATTTCCCTCATCACTTTCTAAAAGACCTTCGGTAATATCTTCACCTACTCATCGACAAACATCAACGAAGAAGTCCATCATGTGGTCAGAATTAAAGATCTTCAAGGGTATTTACTTTTTTAATGACTTTATTGGAATATATTTCTTTCGCCAAAATATCATATATAACATCAACTACAAACGAAATGGTATATAATTTTTATAATCTGATGCTCTCACCTGAAGATATAAGACAGACATCAACCAACTAAAAGATATTAACACTGTAAATACTTGCTATGCATCTTTATTTTCCACCTGCACCTTTCATGTTTAATGTTTAATTGTAATATCTTATAAAGGTGGCAATAAAAATGAACAAAATTTACCTCCTCATCATCATCAATCCGATTATTCAGATTTATTCATCCTCACTAAAATTGTCTATATTTCAAGCAAAAGTCGATATATTTCAGTTATACATAACAAATTTAAATTTTAAAATATAATTTAATTTAAAAAAAATATAATATATATTCAATTTACAAATATCTTTTACTACAATAAAGTAAAAAACATTTGTTTTAGTATCAATACTCAAAGAAATAAAGTTACTAATTTGAAATAAGTAATTATTTCGATTTTAATCTAAGAATTAGGGAAAAATAATGCGACTTTCAATAGAAAATATATTTAGATCAAATAATAGAAATTTTTGTATACAGTAAATTGTATATAAATAATTAATTTTTTATAGAAGCATCATGTTGCTATTGAACATATTTGTAATACTATTGAATTCACCTTTGACGTCATTCAACTAATTTGTTTCATATCTTTCAACTATATTTATTATTTATGGAATAATTATTGATTACATTTCATTCACTCACTCAGCTCAGAATATGAATGACTATTATGAACTAGCATACCATAGTGGCTATAAGAAGATTATATAATGACTTTAATAGGCAAACACAATCTATAAAAAAGCTATGTTAACAGCAAAATTAAAATACGGAATCAATTCTTTTGACATTGATATAATTGTTCTTCTTCTTATTTCCACACTTTCCCTATTCACTTAGCTTACGCATCTTGGGCAATTTCGCCTAACTCTACTAAAGTTCATTACTGCTGTTAGCGTAGTTACTGAGTGGGATTGGAGAGACTGGTGATCCACAAGTAGCGACAAAGCGTAACAAAAAGTAACAAATTTTCAAAGCGGGGTTTCTGCAGTTAAGCAGAAAGGTGACGGGGGAGACCTTGGAAGGACAAAATATGAGTAGTATGGTTTTATCAAGACAATTAGTAGACACCCGTGGTTTGAGAGGAAATCGGAAATTGCAAAACTGAGTCGCATAATATCCGGACACACGTGGACTCCGGTGCATTTGGCCAGAATCGGGTGGCAGGATTCGGACAGATGTAGTTGCGGGTCGGTGGGTACGGTAAACCACTACTTCTTCGAATGTATTTCAAATCGGCAGGCTACTTTAAGACTTTTGGAAATGTTGATCCCATATAAGATTCCTCTACCCACATCAGTCCAGGTTCTCATTACTACAGAGAATACGAGAGTGTACATTGCTTTGCTTCATTAAATACACAAATATAGATATATAATTTTAAATGTTTTACTTCCACTTTAACTCCCACATACTGAAGCGCCACTTAAAAAATCCTGAGTAGAATTACTCGTGAAATGATATGGAATCGAAATCCCCTAAATATTTATGTATTTTATTATGAAAAGCAAAGTTGATGTTCTATGCTGTTCATGTTGATGTACTTCAATGTATCAAAACTTCTATTATATAATATACTTTTAATTTTATATTACATTCGCTATAAAACTATTTGGACTTCACATGTTTAAAAATGTAAATAAGAAAAGTGGTTCAATATTATGCAATATCAATGAAAACCAATACTCCTATACAATAATCCCAGGTCAACAAAAATAAATTGCATGGGTAACGAATGCAAGGGCGATGTTTGTTTAAGATTCCTATCGAGTTTAAAAGGCATATCTCAATGTATGTGCGACGTTTGTGGAAGAATGTGAACCTTTCCATTATATACACAAACACGTTTCAAGAGGTTCCTGAATAATTTAAAGACACATAAATTATTGATGCCCAGGTCACCACTGAAAATTGCTCCGAAATGGAATAACGAATTTACTTAAACCACTTTACCAACATTATTGCATCTAATCTGATCTTTCCAAGAAACGTCTAGATTTATTTTTTGTACATTCATTTTTTCATTTATTTTAATAACATTTTGATTATTACTTAGTTTCTTTTAGAAGACAAGTTCAACAATTCATATATAGTAGATTCTAGAATACTGTTTTTTTTTTACAAAACTCGCTTCAGTTCTACGAAACTATCCAACTTGATTTTATATTTTGTGAAAAACCGTTGAATATATTTGAATAAATTTCAAGGTTTCGAACAAAATGCAAATCGCGTGCGTTTCAGGTTTCATAGAAATTCAAGTCAGGCTTTCGTTTTCCTCGGAAGTCCCTTCGGTTTCGTGCGAATTAACTGACCGCCGGATGAATAATTCCTTCGCCCTAGCGAAAGGTCAAGGACTCGACCGCAGTTGAACCCTTTCCTTTCGATTTCGTGCACAGCAAAAGTGTATTCATTGCATTGTCGAGATTGATTAACAATTCGCGCGGGGAAATCGTATCAAACTTTACAAAGGGTCCTCGAAATTGGGTCTTGATTGAAAGAAGGAAGGAAGTTATTTATTATGAAGGGGTTATGAAAAATACTCAATCGATCTTATAAGCTGTTTTTTCTATTTGTTAGTATTCTAAATTGTCACGTTTCATGTTATTATCGTTTGCATGTGATTTCGCTACACATCGTTCACATGCTACTGTTAAATGCATTTTATTATTATTGTAACATAAATAATAATAATTTTTTATTGGTGTTGAACTCCTGCAATGTATTACAAATATTGTCAGAATAAAGAATTAGAGTTAAACAATGATGACGGTTTTTTAAAAGTAACATTATTGTTGTCGTGGGCCCATTTTAAGATTTGAGGTTCGCCTTGATATAAGAGGCTCCAAACGCGCGAATACTGCGCCTGTCCGGAAATCCACCACTGATTTAATATTGCAAAATGTAGTGATTAAACCTCATATTTATTTTCCATAAAACACAATATTATTGATTGACATCAAAATTATAGACTTATTGTTTTTCCTACGATAATTATCTTTATAATTACCTGTGCTTGTTTTTTTTCACTTCTATAATTTGGCTTTGTTTTGTAGAAAGCCGAGGCCTGAAATCCCTGTACTATATAATGAACATCAATTTATTGGGATTTTGATAAATTGCTTCTGCAATAATAGTAGGCCTTGTTATTTGGGGCGGATTTATTATTCAATCGGTTTACGTAAATAAGGAACGTATTCAGCATACATATTTAATTCTCTCATAATATTTTTATTTTCGTAAAGGAATAAGATTTCTTTTCATCACATTATACATTTATGTATAACATTCATTATCAACATTACTAAATACTTGTAAACGAAATACAATTTTTTTTTTGACAAGTGCGCAGACAATAGTTTCTGCCTTATTACAGTTTAAAGAACAGTTGACTTCAGTAGAAATTTAATTATAATTCTAAAAATATAGAAAAAATAATAAGTACTAATGTTTATAAATGATAATATAGGTTTCAATAGAATAAATTTTAATTTTTATTCACTAAATTTGTAATCATGAAATGATGCAAGGTTTACGTAATAAAACTGAAAGCAAATAATCAAGAAATTCTGACTGCCCGAGTATTACTTTTATTGTTAAGAAGATATATGGAAAATTATAAACCAGTGGTTTCCAAACTAGATGTTACTACGCCACCCTTAATAATATTTAATCATTTGGCGCCTCCCCTGCCCCCCCACATTTCATAAAATAGATAAAACTTTAGCAGTCAATTGCTTTCTGTGACTAATATTTGCGCTTCCCCTTAGATTAGTCTGCACCTCCTAGTTTGGAAAACGCTGTTTTAAACTGTGCACCATATAGTAATATTTTATTGTAGAAAATATGATTCATTCATTAATAATCCAGAATTAATTGTATGAATGTTTAAAAGAAATTATAGTTATTATTAACAATATGAAATTTTGAGAAAATATTAAAACTGAAATAATGCAGGAAAGTGAAACTTTCCAATTGCTGGAATTACATATACAATTTGTTCTGGTATTCCGCATGAGAGGCGTTCGGAGAAATGATAATGTATATATTCATTAAACTAAAAGCTTGAAGAAAATTATTATGATTGGTGTGTGTGTTTCCATTTCACCGAACTTGGACGACTTTTATGCTGTGTTATATATTTTTTATTTGTATGTTTCTACTTCACACCTATTATTTTACAATCAATAAGATGTCTGCAACTTTGACAACTATTTTAACTAATTTCATTATATATGAATAAATAATATATTTATTTATCTATCTGCTTCGTCATGTTATTTAATTTGCTTTTGTTGCACTATAAATAAATCAAAATATATGCATAGAGCAATAACTCGCATAGTCCGGATAATGGGACTGTTTGAAAGAAACGGACTAATCGAAGAAATATAGTATAGTATGACTTTAAAATAAGTCACAGTCTACTATATAAAAAGAAACATCATTGTGTATTAAAAAATAATGTTATATACAATTTTTTTAGAATATATTTGTATTTTACTTAATTAAAATGATTTAAGTTGATGATATTTGCTTATATATTAAATAATATGATTAAGAATATTAATTATAAATAGGCCAATGTGTAGTTAAATCATCAACATATTTCAATTAGCGAGATTGACACAAGATCCATAAAAAATATATGAGAAGTGGGGCGATTTTAGGCATTGTCTATATGAAAGTTTACCATTTACTTTGGTCAATGAAGATGTCAGAAAGCTATTGAATTTCTTAACGAACAGTACATACTAGATATTAAAAATAATTAAGGAAATGCCATCTGGTGAAAAAATGAAAAATGCTTTTCTGGTTTAACTCTTTCAAGTGCCAGAAATTTCTAAATTTCTATACAACTGAATCAGACAACTTTGTAAACAGAATCAACATTCAAATATTTCAACTAGAATTCGAATCACTATACCAAATACAGATTCATTTTTTGTAGTCATCTATTAATATTTAAATACTAAAATATAAGATTTTGAAGGAAAGATTCCCATAAACTTTACTTTATAATATATAAAAGAGTAATTAGAAATATCATATATTAAAAGAAAAAACTCATAAAATGCGAAACTTACACGTGGTACTTATGTGAGCTTTTGAATAAATGAATAAGGATTCACATGCTATTGATTGCAATATTTTTTCATTAAAGTTTTCATCATCGATTTTTCATCAGCGTCTATAAATTCCGATCTAAAGCATGGATAAAGTAATTATATTCCAAATGACTTCCACCTATTTACATCAAACTGTCAAGGCAAATATTGTTGGATTACACCTCTATGGACGTAATTAATTATAACTTGACATGTGTATTAATACAATTGAATAGATAAGTAATGATGCCTTACTCGCTTCCTCTGGATTGTGGTGTTTTTGCTGGGCTAGAACCTCTTGAACCTAAGCTACGCTTGGACGGGGTTCTTGTTAGAGGTTTAACGATAGTCTGAGGAGACTTGGCCTTTTTATCATCTTGAGGAGTCTTCAAAGGGCTTCTTGCCGGACTCCTACCGATCCTTCGAGAAGGAGATGGAGCTTTGTTCTTTGCTGGAGCAGGTGGTGTTCTACCAGGACTATTTCCTCGCGATGTTGGAGGTGTCTTGTATAAAGTTTTTGGTCGTGTCACCATCATCTTTTCATCTCCATCTAACACGATAACTTAAATGGAAAATAATACTCTGAAACAAAAATGTATAAATCAATATTACTCATTCATATTTATAAAAATAATATAGAGTGAAATACACATATAATTCATTTTTATTTTTATGATACAAAATTTGAATTAAATGCAATATCCAATTTTATTATTAATTACATCTGTGATATGTAAAAAGTATTACTTTATTTTTAGATGTATTTTGTATAGAATAAGATTTTCTTTCAAGGCACGCGAATGTTGCCAAGTTCAAAAGAAAGGTCAATGATACCTTTGCTTGATCTTGATAGGATCTTAATTCCGTTTCCTTAAGCCAAAAATAGAGAGTGAACTGCTTTTCGTTTCCTTATAAAAAGATTTACCCAAATATAATCAGAACATTTACAAATTCCATTTACACTATTAACATATGTTATTTTTAGAATATTTTAGCTCTTGGGCCAACATACTTGATAACAAAGATATGTATTTTTAAATTATATATTTCTGCAAACAAGGACAATAATTATATAATACATTAATCTTTCTAATAATTAGTCAAAACTATATCAATTTTCATTACAATTTTCAAATTGAGATTTAATAATTTGGTTTAATATTAAGACTTATAAAATTTTCTTACAGAAGTAAAAATAAATATTGCTATTCTTGAATGCACGATGACATTGCTTCAAATGAATTTCTATTTTTGCATTGTCGCTTAGCGTCTACATATTTCTTGATTTCTTATAAAAAAAATAGTTTCGCTTTTAATAAATTCTACAATTATTGTTCTTAATAAAGATTTGACTATAAACAAATATACCCGATGATTACAATAAAATTAAATTGGTTGTACGTAATTATAGAAGCGAAATAGTTAAAAAATGAATACAATTTAATAAAATCCTATCATGATGAACTTTTAAGAAATATTAAATCTTAAATTATTTGAATATATCATGTATATATGAATTAATACGATAATTCATTTAAGTTATGCCATTTTAAACTATTTCCAATATTAATAATAATTATTAAACTGTCATACAAACTAACAATAAATTAAAACGTATTTATATAATCTTAATAAAAGATTTAATTATAGGTGTTGACCATAAGTCTTTCCACTCTAAATAATTGTATTAATTAAAAAAAACTTACGATATGATTCTGTTTTGGTGATTTATAAACATACATTTGTATTAAGATGTATTGAAAAATTACAAAAAATTTCTCTGGAACTTATCGAAACACATGTGTAGTTGCTAGATGCTGACTGTTTTCTCTTCTCTTATAATATCTAATAATTGTCCTAAAACTTGAACTAGCGAGCTTGGCTCTTCTAACGGTTCGATTTTCGCCCTTCTTAACATCACGCATCGACAGGTTTAACGCTGGAAATCATCACTCAACAGCACTTAAAGTCTAAACAAACAAAGACCGTTTTGGAATAAAGTGATGCTGCATTTAAAACAAAAACTTACAAATCGAATATTATTTAAGAAAATTTTGTCATAAATAGTATATTTAGATATGTGATTGAAAAAAATAATAAAAAATAGCACATGAGTCTTGATATTGCAAATTTTCCATAATTTATAGCAGTATTTAATGCGAATTTGATGAAATTAAAGTACTTTACACGGAATGTACAATGATTTGAATCGGCGTTTGTGAACGAGGCATTAATATTATAACTTTCAAATTAGTTTGAGACATTGTCTATTTTAACCAAAATTGCTAAGATATTAGGAAAACAAATATGTTAAGTTATACAACAAAAAAAAATTGGGGGTACACAATAGTGGATCTCAACATACACTGATAGTACCTATTTACTTACATTATACTATCTTATAATATAGAGACATATACATTATATATAAAAGTACCTATGAAGTAAAAAAAATATTATATATGTTTATAAAATTCTGTAAGTTGTAGGATGTAGGCATTTGGATTGTGGTCGCTATACATTTTGAACTTGTAAAAACCTGCACATAATGATATACCATTATCATCTTGTTACAAGCATACGCGCAGTCTCAGAGCAAAGATCTTAATAATTATAAAAATGACCCAATATAAATAATAAATTTACAAAAAATCAATATCAGGTAAGTAAGGGGTCTACCCAAAACTGAAAAACATGGTAAGGGGTCTACAACACAAAAAAGTTTAGGAACCTCTGATCTATAGCTATATTATATATGTTACGGTAAAAGTACATAATTGGTATACATTTACCGGCTCGGTCTGTAAATATAAATTCAACTTAAATTTACCCACCATTTCCGAGAAATGTATACATTTACCTAATGATATTACCTGTGACAATAGCATTAACTTAATTTCATATAGGTTTACAAATCTGCATATTTAGAGATTATTGTTTTTGTTTATTAAGGTAAATGTATATATTTACCGATTATGTACTTTTACCGTAACATATACGTTGAGAAAACAACAAATCTCGATAAAACAAATATTTTCATCTATTGCAAATTAATTGTGAATGAAACATATTGTCACTCGGATTTTTTGAAAATTCAATTAAAGTACTTTTCGTTTGAATATATGTAACCAATATATTTAGTATAGAAGGTATTTGTTCGTTAATGATAGCAATAACGAAAATATGTATGCATATTTGTATAGTGAGGATGAACTGAGTATGTTCAATGGGAATTGACCCGAAACACGTACATTGGATTGATTACGAGTGGAGAACAAATACGACCCAATGCGAAACGAGTTGACCCACACGGACTCTCATCATCAAACACGCACGAAACATTTTCCAGATTCATTATTAAATGCGCCTGGCCTCTACGTGATTAATAAATCGAGCGGAATACGCTTTTCCAACAGTTCAAAGTCACATGTAAAATCCATAAACAGTTCGAATTCCATTCAATGCTCAAATAAAAGAAATATTGTGCAATTACTGCAAATTGAATATCTATAAACACCAAATCAATTATTTTCTCCATTATTAATATGAGGTAGAAAAAAAAACATATGTAAGCATAACATATCATTATTTCGCAGTAAGTATGTGACAATCAGATAAGTTTTTTATCGATTATTTTCTGTGTTTTGAAAAGATGATTGTGAATAATGCAATGGATTTTTAATTGCTGATGTCGCCTTGTTCACACGGCCTTCGATTTGGTGCCCCATTTGAAAACAAATCGATGTCAATATTGGTTGTATTTGGAATACTTAGTTCTTACACTATCCTTGTTTATGGATCATCTAATAATAAATGTATGCACTTGCTTATGTTTGAGCAAGACATACATAATAAATAATATTTATTTTATTAAGGACACAACAATTGATAGTTGTAATCAAATTGTCACATACTGATATCAGTCAATGAAATTGAAACATATTTTTTTAATATAAGCTCACTAATTACAAAAGTTTACATTATAATAAACTATACAATCATATACAATATTTAGTTGTAAACTATTTTTTATGGGTCTATGTCGAAATCCCGTCAATCAAATTCCCGACATTCGGGATTTCGACAACTAAACCCGACAGTGCTGATATGTCATAATACTGACAGTATCAAAATGCTGAATATTTTGGTAATCCTCATTTCTTGTTGAAATAATCCATAATATGCATACATAAGGTATACAGTTATGAATTGAGAACAACGTCTCGTCCCGGTTTTTTTCCTTCACCATGAAGCCTTTTTGTGACGGAATTATTTCACAAATATTAACTTTTCCAAATATTGATTAGCCTAAGGGTTAATTAACTAGATAATTATAATTTAGACGGTTCCGATTTAGTCTAAACAATAGAATATTAATAAGTAATAACGCTGATTTTTAAATTCATTTGTTTAAGTCTATATCAAATATTAAAAGATACTGTTGGGATGTCGAATGTCCGGAATCCGGTTGTTGGGATTTTGATCTGAACCGATTTTTTCTATTTTTTTCTCTCTTTAATTTCTAAACATTGGATTTTTTCTTCTTTATTAACCACCACTTTCCTCGCTTATTTTGTGCATAATGCAATTTCGACAGTCGGAATTGTGCACATTAGAATTAAAAAAATGTAAAAAAAGAAGAATCTCTGTTGTCAAATATTGGGTGAAGTAAAAAATTTGTTATGTCGCCTTTAAATCGCAGTATAGAATAACAAGATGCAACGTATACATTGTGAGATATGATTCACTAAAGCCATCTTTCTATAATAGTTTAAATCAGCAGTTCTCAAACTTTTACACATTGCAACCCACTTTTTAGAAACTAAATCTATAGCGATCCAATTTATACAGCGGTGGTATCAATAAAACATAGGTGTGAGCAGAGGAGTGTCATTGAAATAAAATGTGTGAGCTTCTATTGGTTATTACTCTTCCATCTTCAAGCAGCGATGAGTTTTAACGTTGCTCTTGTTTTCTTTTTTAATGTCAAAAAAATATACCTCACAGTTTGGGAAGCGATGGTTTAGATGATAGTTTAAATATTAAGTTAGTTTGTATTGAATTTTACATTTACATAATTAATTTGTGTAATTTTTAAATTACTGATATATTGCTATGATGTATTATAAAAATTAGTCTTTATAATTAATAAACAAAAACATATTTATATTTTTATAAGCCACTTGGAGATTTCAAATTCTTTATGTGAATCAAAATTATATTCAGAAATCAAGAGAAAAAAAAAACGTATTTCAACAAATGATTAGGTTGAAATTCGAATCAGATATTTAATTATTAATTTCTTTATGGATGTGATTTTTGAAAATATCGTCATAAAATTCAATAAAACTGATTACAATCGCTTTATTCCTCGATTTATGGAATCGTGTGCACTTGAACCACTTTTATGTTAGCAAGGACATAACATAAAAAAATCGTTTGAATGATTGATGATTTTAAAATTACTTTAATTTAGTTTTTATGTTAGTTTAAGTTTAATTTAGTTATTGCAGTATTTATGAAGGGTGACATTAAAATAAGGAAATAATACATGGAATTTCTATATTAAAAATAATTA